AGCATAGTTTAATTGATTGCAGTGGAGCAATGCCAGGTTTTAGCAGATAAGGATCTGGACTGACTTGCATGTTTGTTCTAGGTCACTTTGAGTGCAGTACCTGAAAATACCACAGAGAATGATTTTTTTTCCCCTGAAATGCAGTTAATTTATCCACTCTCTAGGAAATTCCAGAGACAGAGGACTTCTTGAAAAACAGATAAAACTGATTTAGGGACTCTGTTCAAGCATAAGTACATTTGGACATAGTAGGTTTTAATGGGAGGAAACTGAGCTACTTGCCCGACTCAAGAGACATACATGCTATACGGACTGTAAGAGGGGCATGCAGCAGGACAGAAGAAAGGCACAGCTGAGTCATTTGTAGCAGTGAAGGTCTAGTATTAGCTGGTGAGATCTTTGAAAAGCCCCTCAAAAAGTATCAAAACTTGAATCAAACCAAAACATGCCAAGTGCGATAATTCTTACAGCCACAGCAAGCTGCTGTTGAATACTTCTTGAGCTAAAAGCACCAATCTGTTAAGGGCTGCTGGTGGTGGGAACATGGCATACTGGTAGTTCAGGTATGAAATGAGGGAAAGGTCATTTTTATTTGTTGACAGGATCCTCAGTGAGTTTGAACTTAATAGTGGAAACACATTCTTATGAGGAAAGGTTGGAAGAACTGGATAATTTAGTGCGGATAAAAGAATTCTGGAAGGGGGATTTGAGAACAGTCTTCAGACACAAAAACGGTTATAAGGAGGATCAATTTTTCTCTGTGTCTATACGGGACAGGGCAAGTAGCTCTGGGCTTGAATTGCAACAACAGAGATTTAGGTTGGGTTTTAGAAGGAACTTTCTAGCTCTGAGGATGGTTAAGCCCTGGAACAGATCATCTAAAGAGGCTATGGAAATCCCATCACTGCAAGTTTCATAGTCGGTAGGGTCGGAAGGGACCTAAGCAGATCATCAAGTCCGACCCCCTGGTAGGAAAGAGTACTGGGGTCAAACAACCCTGGCAAGGTGTTCATCCAGCCTCCTCTTAAAGACCCCCAGGGTAGGAGCCAGCACCACTTCTCTTGGAAGTTGGTTCCAGATCCTAGCTGCCCTGACAGTGAAGTAGTGCCTCCTGATGTCTAGTCTGAATCTACCCTCTGCCAGCTCGTGACCGTTATTTCTAGTCACTCCTGGTAGTGCTCAGGGGAACAGGGACTCCCCCAATGCCTGCTGGTCTCCGCCCTGACTAGTTTGTAAACGGCCACTAGATCCCCCCTCAGCCTTCTCTTGTGGAGGCTGAACAGGTTCAGGTCCCATAGACCCTCCCCCGAGGGCCCGCCCTGCTGCCCCCTGACCATGCAAGTGGCCCTCCTCTGGACCCTCTCCATGTTGTCCACATCCCTCCTGAAGTGCGGCGCCCAGAACTGGATGCAGTACTCCAACTGCGGCCTGACCAGTGCCGCATAGAGGGGGAGGATCACCTCCTTAGACCTGCTTGAGATGCATCTGTGGATGCATGAC